AATAAATATATTTTTTACTTCTACTTGGAGTATCAGTAACAGTTAACTAAGATTTTAGTCTTAATTTAAGCTATTTCTGATGACCTAATATTGTTAATGTCTTGGTTTAAATTGAAGATCTGTATCGCTGAAAATATGAACGTAGCTTGAGCATACATCTCTTAATTTTTATTTTTTTTTATCTGCACTTTGGTTTTTTTTAAACTTGACATCCTAGCTCTTACACAATAAAAGAAAAGGAGGAGGGAAAGACAAGAAAACTGGCCTCTTAAAGGTCATATTAGATGATATGAGAAAAGTATTAGCAGAACTTAAAATAAATCAAAAAAAGGGATTTCCATAATTTAATTATGCCATTTGTTCATAATTCTGCAGAATATTGTGGGAAGTTTTGAGGCAGAAATAGGTAGAAGTGATTACTAAGTACCTTTTGTACAAAGTTATGTCAGTTTGGGATTTAATTTTTCTACTTTTTTTTTTTTTTTGCAATATAATATCCCAAATATAGTACACATCTTGCTTTTTAAAGGAACTGTGAAGTAAAAATCTCCCTCCTCTGCAGCCCCAGTTATGGCTACAGAGAGCAGGGACAGTGTAATGGCCAGCTGACTTACCCTTCCTTCCTTTCCTGCTTTAGTTAAAACTCTAGCTGCTGCTGAACACTGATTTCCCTGGGTAGACCTATGATCTGAAAAGAGCTAAGGGGTTGTGAAATAAGGTGATTCTGTCTTGGGAAGCTGTTTATTAATGTTCCCCCCACCTTTACTACATGCACCCCAATTTTGGGGGATTGATTTTGGGGGAAGATGATGCATGCTGTATGTGAGAAAATATGGTATTTGTGTGAACAGTTGACACACCTGAAATGGCAACAGTGAAACAACTTTCCAGTATTTTCATTGCAGAGTATTGGGACTTACAAAACTCCTTTTAACGTTGACTCTACTGAGTTATGATTTTGAGGTCTCCAGGTGTGACGGAACAAATTTCCTTGACATAATTAATGGACAAAGGAGAATGATTCCTTGATTGAATCTTGATGTGTGCCACTCATAACTTCAATAGTGATTGGATGTAATGTTGAAAGAAGACTTTAAAGTATGATAGACAGTGGCAACAGAGGCCATATTTTTTATGTCTCGCCTTATAACTTCTCCTACACTAGCTTTGGTAATTTGTATGCCACCTTGCATAGGCTTATCCTTTTTTTTGTTTTCTTTTTACATGTGCATTATTGCTTCTGTACCAGTTCATAAGACTACTTACTACCGTCTTCAGATGCTCCCTCCTGACTCCCTTTTTTCCAAATACCAGAAATGGCAATTTTTCCATTGGTTAGGTTAAGGGGCTGTCCTCAGTGCTTGATTTCATAGACATTAGGGCTGGAAGGGACCTCGTAAGATCGAGTCCAGCCCCCTGCCCAAGGGGCAGGAAGTCAGCTGGGGTCAAAGGATCCCAGCAAGATAAGCGGCCAGATGTTTCTTAAGAGTCCAAAGTAGGTGCTTGCACCACCTCTGGGGGGAGTCTGTTCCAGGCCTTGGGGGCTTGGACAGTAAAGAAATTTTTCCTTCTGTCCAGCCTAAAACAGTCCTGCAGGAGCTTGTGACCATTGGACCTTGTTATCCCTTGGGGTGCTCTGCTGAACAGGCGTTCCCCCAGATCCTGATGCACACGCCTTATGTACTTACAGGCTGCCACCAAGTCACCCCTGAGGCTGCGCGTCTCCAGGCTGAAGAGCCCTATAGCTCACAGCCTCTCTTCATAAGGCCTGTTCTCTTGCCCTCTTATCATGCACATGGCTCTCCTCTGGACTCTCTAAAGTTTCTCCAAATTGTGGAGCCCAGAATTGGATGTAGTACTCCAGCTGTGGCCTTACCAAGGCCAAGTACAGTGGGAGGATGACATCCTGGGTCTTGCTCAAAATGGATTGTTGGATGCAAGCCAGAGTTTTGTTCGCTTTGCCAGATGTCGTAGTGCATTGGTGGCTCATGTTCATCTTGTGGTCAGTCACGACCCCCAAGTCTTTCTGCCATGGTGCAAGTGAGTGTAGCATTGCCAAGCCTATAAGTGTGATGTGGGTTTTTTTCCCCCAAGGCGGAACACATTGCATTTCTCTGTAGTGAACGCCATGAAGTTTTCATCCGCCCACCTTGCAAGCCTATCGAGTTCGGCGTGGCTTACCAGCCTGTCCTCAAGTGTGGACACTCTCTTTTCCCCAAAGTTTGGTGTCGTCAGCGAACTTGGCCAGTCTGCTTCTGACACCAGTGTCCAGATAGTTTATGAAGACATTAAAGAGAGCAGGTCTGAGAATTGAGCCTTGGGGGACACAACTAGTCACTGAGTGCCATATTGATGTGCAAGCGTGTTGTGTATATCAGCCTATAACTGGGGTGGACAAAATACAGCCTACTGGCTGGATCTGGCCCATCAGTTGATAGGATCTGGCCTGGAGCTGCCTCTGTGGTGCTCCGCGTGGAGCTGAGCCCCACCTGCTCCTGCTTCTGCCCTGCCACCCTGTGCCTGCTGATGGCATGCCCCTGGCCAGTATGCACAGCTTCCTGTTTGGACTGTCTTTCACCCACATGGCTGCCCACAGGTGGCTGCTTATTGTGCTAGGTGGCTGGGAGCTGGAGCTAGAGCCCTGCATGCTGGGGTAGGAGCTGTCTGGCTACAGCTTCTCCTCTTCCTGGCTCGGCATGTGGTGCCCCATGCTACCTGTTGCCTACAGTGGAGTAGCAGGGTCAGTGGGAGGAGGAGCTGCTGGAGGTGTGAGAAGCCGAGTAGTACCAAGGCAGCTGGAGTAGCAGCAGCTCACTGGGAAGCTATTGTCTCTAGTGGGTTATGGAATAGAGAAAATCCCACACAATTTACTGATTCGTTTTGATGCACTGGCTGGGGGAGTAGTTAGCTGATTGCACGATTTCACAATGATTACACACTTAATTTATACAACACAATTTTATTTTAAAACTCTTTGCTACGTATATAACACTGCTTAGCTTTAAGAAACACCACAAACATTAAAAACACAATAATTACATATATCAGAAACAATGCTCCGAATGCACTTCCTTCCCAAACAATACTATAAGAATTAGTGTTACAAAAACAACTACAATTACAACTAAAAGTTAAATTTGAATCAATACTATTATTTTTCATAATATACTTACAATCCTAGAATTCTGAGAAGCCAAATACCAAAATATGGTTTCATTCCTCAGTAGTACGATTTAATGGGTTGGCCTCAGTAGTACGGTTCAACGGGCTGGCCTCAGCAATACGATTCAATGAGCTGGGCTCACCAGTGATAGGACTACGTCCCCTTCCTTCAGTCCCTTTCGGGCGCTCCGCGGCTTCAGCGTGAACTAAGAGATTCGTGTTCACGGAGAGGTTGGATTAGGTGATCAATCTAATCCGAGTTTACACTTGCGATTCTTCCTTCGTTGTTCTGCAAATGAAGTCACCTCCAAATTGGGACAGTAAGTTACAGGTTTTTATTGAGTGAGCTGCCGTCAGTGGGCTCCTCCTACTCAACTTATCATAACTCCCATATTTGGGCTCGGATCTTACTTAACAGAAATTACCTTTGTTGAGCATTTTAAATTATTCTTGGGGAGACTTCCATATCACTGTAAATACTTTTTTTTTTTTTTTTTTTTTTCCCAGTCTGGTTAAAAGGCCTTAGGCTTTGATGTCTCGGAATTCAGGATATTTGCTTTCTTTGTAAAAAACTTCTAAAGATACAATTTAAATTAAGGCTTTAAGTGAAGTCAAGACATTTTGCACGTAGCTCCGAAACAATGAGCTAGATAAGGAGATAAATCCTATCTTCTTCCTGAAACTGGCTAATGGGCAACCTTTACAAACATTCAAACTATTTCATTCAATATGACAGCTATGTGGGTTGGGGTTGGTGCAGGCAGGAGCGCAGGCTGGCCTGGGTAAGAGCGGATGGGGCTCAGCCCCATGAGGAGTGCTGTGGAGACAGCTGTGAGCTGGATAGGGGTGGATGTGGCCTGGACAGTACCTGCACTGTCCTGCCCAGGCAAACTCTGCTGCACATACCCCCTGCAGAGAGTGATTGCAGCTCTGCCCTGGGCTCTGGCCCTGCACTGTCACTGTCCTGCAGTCCTGGCCCTTGCCACCTGTCCTGCTCTGAGCTGCTGTTCCCCACCCACCTATGGCCCCATCCTGCCCACCTGGCTGGTTTCCATAGAACCCTGCCTGCTCTGTCTGGCACCCCTTGTGGTGGGCGCAGGGTGGACAGGCCAGGGTTCCTGGGCAGGTGGCGGTGACAGCAACAGTGGCTGTCTGGGATTGGAGTCTGGGTGCTGCACCACCCCTGGCCCACCGTGTGCCCAGGGGCACTGTGACCAGATGCAAGGGTCATAGCACAGGCTGCTCCCCACTCCCTTCTCCACCCCCACACTTGGTCTGGGCCAGGCCAAGGGACCTGCTGAATGCCTTGCGTGGTTTGATAGTTGCTTCTCTAACTGAACTTAATAAGACATATATGTGAATTTTGAAGAAAACTGCTTACAGCCCTTGGCTGAAGTGATGGTGGCCGTGTTGGGCATGTAGGTAGAGAGTGTGAAGAAGTGGGAAGACGCTTATCATGTAAGCCAGTTCATGTATTGTGAATCCTCCCCTTACACAGGGCAATCTTAGTGAATCATCTGTGTTTCTCTGAAGTTTCCTTTCTGTTCCTATTTTATGAATAAATTTAAACTCTCTGAAATGAAGACTTCATTTTTGTATACAGTAGTGCTGTGACTACAGCAGGTGTGATGTATTTAGATCTGTTCAGTGTCTCCTGAGAGCATTTAGTCTTTTTCCCAATATAGTAGAGTTACTCAGTGGTAGAGAATAAATAGCCGTGCTAATATATCTGGAAGGGAAGGATAGAAACTAGTTTCTATCTTTTTGAGAAAATTCTTTCTTACCTTGTCAGGTAGAGATACTGTGGAAGTAATAGACTATACGTTCTTTTATTGCAGACATTATAAGAAACGTTGTCAAGGTCGGATGCGGAAACACGTTGGTGACCTATGTCTCCAAGCTGGGATGTTACAGGATTCCTTGGTACATTATCATATGGCTGTGGAACTTCTGCGGTCTGTAAATGACTTTTTGTGGCTTGGAGGTAGGATTTTGATATAACAAAAATATTGTAACATTTGAGTACAAAGCAAGTTTTGATAAGCAAGTACAAAGCAAGTTTTCATTACTGTCCAGCTCAACTATGAGGTGGCAGCAATACACTTAGACTCTAAAAAACTAAATAAAAAATAAGTGATACAATGACAAAAATAATGTCAAAATGACAGACCAGGAAAAAAGGTTATAAAAAGCCAGGTTAGCACACTTGCAACATAGAATTTATACTTCTGGTACATAACTTTTTAAATTTTTTATTCTGAAAATAGAGTTGTACATGACTTTTTATATTTATTTTTTTTTAAAGTGTGATCTTAACAACATGTTATACAGGAAAGACTTCCTACACGTATTTCTGGAGGACTCAGACTGACAACTTGGTCAAAATACCTGTATTCCTATGGTTACCAAAGCTCTATATACATTAAGCTTGCATTGATGTCTTTATTCCATTTCTCTTCTAGCAAACCAATTCTGGTCCCTATGCTTCAGCTCTTTGTACGCCTCTCTTGTCTGGTGCTGCTGTTGCTACTCTCCGAGGTGTGCAAGTGCCACTAGATTATCAGCTCCTTTCTCTCCTCCAACCCTGTAAAAATCACCAGGGGCTTCATTGGCTGCTTGTACACGCCACGGGGGTTTACTTCAGTTTAATTCTCCCTAAATTGAAGCAGTGTTTTTAAAAACCCACTGCTTCAATTTTGGGAGAATTAAACTGGAGTAAATCCCTGTGGTGTGTACACAAGGGTTGGGCCCGATCCTTACCTGCCTCTGGTGGCAGGAAGGGAGGGGGTGAGCTGCCAGAAGGCTAAGCAGTTCCTGAGCTGCTGGGGGGGCTGGTGCTTCCCTCTGCGGCAGTGGCAGCGCCCTCCCAGGGGCACCCATCCCCAGGCACCCGGCCCAGATGGTCCATGTGGGCACTGCAGCCGCAGAGGGAAGCACCAGGCCCCTGTGCAGCTCGGGCCAGGCAGGATCCAGGGAGCGGGGGGGGGAAAAAAAAAAGACCAGGCTCACAGGTGTGTTGTTTTTTTTTTTCTTCAGTGGATCCTGCCTGTATGGGCTGCCTGCATAGCCCCTGAGCAACATCAGGCCTGGTGCTTCCCTCCGCAGCTGTTGCACTTTGTTAGGTAGCAAACTAAAACACCTTGGAGGTGTTTTATTTTGCTACGTCCCAAAGTCATTTAACGTGCAATATGCCGCCAACAATGTAAACAGCAGCACCATTAAAGTGGTGCAAAAGGGCATTTAAGTCACTTTTTAAAAGACAATTTTGTGGTGTGTACAAAGACCTGTTGGCTCTTTCTTTCCACTTACTCTCTTCTTGGAGAACTACACCTCCTCTGTGGCTCCCCTCTTGCAAGAGAGAAAGCCAGTTAACCTATTTCCCTTTGTCTTTCCCCCTTCCCTGTGAAAGGAGCTGTGTTGCTCAAATGCTCTGCTTTAACTAGGAGTGGAGACTAAATTTACACTTGCACAGGGTTAGAACCTGTTTCAGGCCATGTTGGCAGGTTTATAAAATACAACTCTTGAGGTTGTATATGTGAGTGGGTTCTACTAAATTGTTCTTTATCTTTAATCTCTAGCTGCTCTTGAAGGATTATGCTCAGCATCAGTTATCTATCACTACCCTGGTGGCACAGGAGGTAAAGCTGGGGCTCGTAGGGCACAAGGTAGTTCACTTCCTTCTGAGGCAGGCAACAGACACAGACCAGGTAAGTGCAATTTGGCTTTTATTTTCAGTTTTTAACAGTAGAAATTTATAATCTAAAGTCAATTTTTCCCCTTACCCTCCTCTTGCCTCAGGAGGGTTTCACATGGAGAGGGAAAACAGTATTAAGTCTGATGACTTCTTTTATTCTTTAGGATGTTTACATGTGTAGAAAAAACGTGTATAGTCCTGTATTTATGCTGACAAAGGTGCTTACACACAAGCAGAATTGTCAAGTATTAAATTCACATTTCTTGGTTGTGTTTTTGTTTTTTTTTTTTTAAGACAAAGAATCAAGTTAATGTTTAGCAAAACAACATGCTTGGGGCACAGGTATTTTTTTTAGAATAATATAGAAAATATAGCCCTCCTATGCCATTTATGTATATACTGAAAGGATGAATTAAGCAAGTTTTAGTGCCCAAGACATTTGCTTAGTATGTTAAAGAGTTTGAATGGAAGATGGTCATTTATGTAAAAACCTTCAGTGTATACATGACTCCTTGATATTGTAATATTTAGGTGTGAACATTCCCATCTTGCAGGACTTCTTTTGAAATATTGATTGTAAAATCAAACACAAATCAAGAAAATAGCAATTTACCCTTGTTGGTTTTCAGTGGGCATGTCTACACATGTGCCTGTGTGCATTAGCCTATTTTAATGCCTATTAAAGCATCACAAAAAAAACCTGTGCTCTTTAGCTAATTATGTCATCACCTAAAGCGCTTTAATGAACGTCTAGATGTGCCCTGTGTGCTCTTTATGAACCCTGATGATATAACTTCAATGAGATGAGTTGCCTGCCTGGGAGAGAGTGGCTGGTTACTATAGCAAGCTCAAAAACAAAAAATCAAAACCTGAAAAATGTAGGTCCTCATCATAATTCTTTAAAAACATATTGTGATCGAACTACTTCCATCTTTCATAGTTTTTCTTTCTTCCCGTATAAATCACAGTCTGAAAAAAACTGTTTTCCATTTTGAAAGGCTGAACTGCAAATTATAGGTAATGATACCTCATCAGTTTTTAAGCTCATCTTGGTTAAAAAAAAATAAAAAAAAATCACACCAGGTGTTCTGGTGATTTACATGACTAATTTTTGTCTAGGTGGTTCCATTCCCTGTTGAGATGAGTTTTACTCAGTTGGTCAATATGGTGTAATCTCATTTACCACAATCGTATTAATGAGTGTTTCTCCAGATCTCAGCAAGGACTTTATAAGAGATACTGCAGCTAAGTTTATTATCTTTGCCAAAGAAAATTGTCAGAAGCAAACTCTAGCTGTCAAGATGCACTGCAAAATGTTTTCAATTACCATTACTGCCTTTTTGTATGTTGTTCTAACTTAGCATTCTTCCACACATTACTACAAAATTGTAAGTTTGTCCATTTTAAATAGGAACAATTTTAATTTCTTGAAAAAAGTTTTTGAATAAGCCATCCTCTGCTACGTGAGTGAAACATTGCATATAGTAGTAAGCAGAACTTTAATTCAGCTATGGTTGATTGAATTACTCTATCATTCTGTCCCTCTCGGGTACCTGTGCCTTATTTTAGAAGAGTCACTTTATAGCCTACAAGATACCAGCTCAAGTTGTTATTGCTAGCATTTTGTGATCCCAATTATTGGATTCCAGTCTTAGTTGAGCAGCTCCTTACTAAAAACTTTCCCTCTTTCTCCAAGGCGAATAAAAACCAAAACTTTTGCCTTTGCCCACTTCGGCTTTTCTTCTCCAGTAAGGTGTTTTCTCGTTGTTCCCTCTTCAGTGCATCCTATGCTCCCTTATACCCAAATTACTTTTTAGTTGCAGCTCTGTTTATTACTTTTAGGAAGATTATTAGCAAACTAGCCTTAGATAATCGGATATTGAAAATAAATTCCAAGTTTCTAAGGAACAAATTAAAAAAAGGATTAAATCCCACGTAAGTGCTGTTTAACTCTGGGGGTGGGGTGGGGGGCGGGAGGGTGTCCTAAATTTCATGGGTACTTTCTGACTTTAAAGTCTGAGGCACCCAGAATTGTGCCTGTGCACATGTCTGAAACTTCTTAATTGTGGGCAAAGCTGAGTAGTTTGGTGTCTAGTTGAGAGGGAAACTAGATCTTCCTCTTCTTAAGTCCCCTGAAAGGCCAGTTGTGGTAGGTTTTTTTTTAAGAGCAATGTGCATAAAGAATTGAGCTGCTTATATAATGCAGATGTGGCTGTTTCTTCTAAAAATGTGCATGGAGGAAGATGTGATGCTAGCTACTAGGGTTGTGCAAAGTTTCGCTGGCTGTTTCAATTCAACACTGTTTTGACTCATTTCGACCTCGAAACAGTGAAATAGAATTGAAATGAAGGGCTTCGAAACAGCCTCGAAACAAAATGAGGCTAGTTGAAACATTTCGAAACGTTTTGAGTGAGCGAGATGGTGAGAGACAGGGGAGAACCAGGGCTGCGCTCCCAGCAGGAGCCGGGAGCACAGCCCTGGCTCTCCCCATCTTCTGAGCTCAGGCTCAGTTCTCCTCTTCAGCGCTGCGATCATGCTGGGGAAAGGAACTGAGCCCAACCGATAAGCTCCCCTCCCCAGCACAAGATTGGGCGCGGGGCAGGGAGTCAGCCCAGCTAGGGCTGACTCCCTGCCCCGCGCCCTTTGACTCTTTGCCTCGAAACTCAAGGCAAAATGGAATGCTGCCGTTTTGCACAGCCCTCCTAGCTACCTCTTCTTGTAACAGTTTTCTGGATACAGAGCTTCGCCAATAAGTTGGAGACCTTGGTTTAATGCTGTCCTCTGATGGGATGCAAACCCATCTCTCCCCTTTGTGGAAAAGGTCATGTTTACCAGACTAAGGTTGTTTTAGATGGCGACACTTTGCCCCTCCTGTTGAAGCTGTGCTTTTATGTCTTGTAAGAGGTTAGATTTAGGGCCTTCCCTTTCCCAGTTGAATGTGTTAACCCAGGGCTGTCCAACTGGAAACCTGCAGGCTGCATGCAGCCAGTGAGGGCTTACGTTACGTTTCCCAGGTTCCTGCCTGGATGCTTCTGCATCACTCCGGTTGCAACAGTAGCTGGAGTCTCCAGGCTCCTCCTCTTCCTAGCTCCTTGACTTTTGTTGCCCGTCCCTGTCCCACAGCGTAGCAGTGCAGCACAGCATAGCACAGGGGGCTGAGGATGAGCCTGGGGCTGTGTGCCCTTGTGGCACCAAAGTTGGGGTTGTGTGTGCAGGCATATGGTGTAGCAGTGAAGGGGAGGGCCCACACTTGGTACAATGGTGGTGGGGTGGTGGTTGTGAAGGCCACTGCTCAGGCACCTGACAGGGTATTTGGCCCCCTGTTACTTGAGTTAGATAGCCCTGCATGATAGAAGCATAGGGAATTACGGCTGGAAGGGACCTCCAGAGGTCATCTAGTCCAACCCCTTGTTTGTGGCAGGATCATCCATACCCAAGTCATCCCGTACAAATCCATAATCTAATCTCTGTGTAAAACTACTGTCAACCCTGACACAACACAAGATGGAACACCCCAGCCTGCCACAGGTAACTCATAGAAAGCCCAATGTCCTGCTTCTATAAAAGGTTGCTAACATCTGCTCAGGAGATCCCAGGTAGCAGGCTGCGTCCTGCACTACAGAGGAAGGCAAAAACCCCCACAGTACATTCCAGTCTGGCCATGGGGCAGACTTCCTTCCTGATGCCAAATATGGTGATTGGTCTGACCCTGAGAGGAAGGCTAAGACCGTCTAGCCAGGGACCTCTGTCTTTAATTGTCAGCAAGTACATTGGCACACCCTAGTCAAAATCCCCAGCCTTAGCTGCAGCCAACACCCAGTGCCTCTGAGGAAGGGTTAAAAACATCCAGACATGGAGCATAAAGGATGTGGGGAGGGGGCAAGCAGCAAAGCCCGGAAGCATGGGAAATACCCGTAGTACAACCAGTGGCTGTCTAGCCTCTTCTTGAGCACCTCTGGTGATGGAGTCCACAACTTCCCCAAGCAGTCCATTCCACTGCCTTACTGTTCAAACAGTGAAGACTTTTTGTGGATATCTGGTCTAAACCTACTTTGCTGCAACTTCAGATTACTGCTTCTCATCCTACTCTAATTGTACACTAAACTATATATTACAATCATGCAGTCTCTTTGCCCAATGAAATGTGCATTCTTTTCTTTGTAGTGGCACAGCTTCAACCAGAGGGATTGGAGAGTGGCTCCTATATGCTGCTCAGTATATTGGCTCTTTTGGCTCCCATCCTGGAGTGCCTGATTTTTCTCTATGCAATATAGAGGGAGCTCAGACACTGTATTCCACGTCTGGTGGCCAAAGCACCTGAAACTTAGGCTTTGCAGCACTTGATGCTTAGGAATTGAAGTTCTTTTTCAGATTGGGCTCTAAATCTCTAGATTTTATTAGGTTGGTCTGGAGGCTGAGAAAATCAGTTTAAGAAAGTACAAGATGTCTGGTAAAGGACAAAAATGCTGGGCTGTTGAGCTCTTACTCTTCATAACTTGATTACCTTGTCCAAACTTTAGAAAAACAACATAGTCAGTTTGAGATGCACAGCCTTCCTTTTTTGCAAAATCATTCTCCTTTTGTCAGCTATTTGGGAAAACCTTGCATCAGAGATTGTGTATGGTAAGCCTCACAAAGGGTCTATATCCCGAAAGTAGGAAGCTTTGTCTTTATTAAGTCTACCACCAGGGC